CTTCCGGTGTAGGGGACCTGGCCTGGTGGCCCCGTGCTGGTGGGGCTGCAGCCAGTCACAGCTTCCGCTACTACCGCCTCTGTAGCTGGAAGCATGGTGCAGCAGAGCCTTCTGCTATTGTCACTGGGCTCCTAGAGGAAAATGTAGAGGAGGAGGAGCAGCCGAGTCCCCTCGACACTCCACGGAGGAAAAATTAAAGGGTACATCCCAATGTATTTATCAAACATTATTTTTGAATGATGGAAACAGTAATGTTAAGATTTACGCTTCAGGAGAAGAGTGGAGCTTGTGCAATATATATTTATTTCAATCTGGCCAATTTTCTAGAATGTTCAGTAATTCTTGCAAAGAATACAGCATGAATATTATTGAGCTGGAGATTCTTGACCGGAATATTGGCAGAGAAGCACTACAGGTTGAATTTGAGCCACTATCTGGAAACGACTTTCCATTAAAGTCCCTTTCAGTTATTGCTATTTTGGCAGCTGCTTTTATACAGCCTTGAATGGTTTAATACAGCAATGTGGTGAGAGAGCTGATGGAAAAAACGTGTGTGAGCGGGGACCTGTGGATTTGATCCTGGAAAGAAAAATGCTATGAAGGATGCTGACCTTTTAAAAGAATTTAGTATAAACGTCATAAGACAATTCATTGGTTCATCTAACATATTTTGTGATATGAGTGAAAATGGATGTATACAGTGCTCTAAAAAAGGTGAATATTCCTCAACTTCTTAGAATGGGTCTTTAAAACAGCTTTTGACAGAGACAGATGGTTGATTTTTGAAGTGGAAACAAGATTTTGAAGATGCGAGCTTCCTTGAAACGGAGCAATGTGTTCAAACATTTAAGGTTACAGTATATTACTAGTGATCTGGCTCCCCCAAGAATGTTTGAGCAAGACTCTCTAATACCTTCAGAATGGCCATCTTCAAAATATAAACAACAGTGAATTGCTACATTCCAGGCAGAACAAGATAGTGAAATGGGGCCTCAAAAATTTAATAAATAAAGAACTATAGGGAAGTAGCATGAAGTGTGATAGAAAAGCTTACCACAGATGTGATGGACAGGTTTTAACTTTGGCTTTAACTTACGTGCAATTTACACCAATCCATATATCATTTTCAAACATGATACACTGAATCAACTAGGTAGTGGATCTGTCAGTGTACAACCTTGAAGGAGCATTGCATTTGGCTTCTTTTGAGAGTAATGTAAAATGAATCTGTAGTAGAATAATTGGCTACGAAATACTTACTTACCCTCCTACAGGATCAGAAACAAGTGGTGATGAACTTACACAGCAGGTTTCTGAGTTTCCTTTTATATATTTGTACATATTTCTTTTTTTCTGTTTTTCTTTTCTTCGAGAGGTTTTTGCTACAGGGCACGTGCGCTTGCTAGAAAGATAGAGAGAGACATAGAGACAGAAAGCAAGAAATCACTCCCCAGGGAGGATGGCAACACTGCAATCCCTTCCCCCCCATTCTCCTCTCAGGATCTTGGGCACACACGCTTACGTGCCTGGCGTGAGTTTAAGCCACTCGACCCGGGACTTGAACCGCGATCAACTACATGGGAGTCCAGTGACATAGCCATTACACTAACTGCTGGTCCTTATATTTGTACATATTTCCAGACAAAAGAAGTGAAAATAATCAGCACCCAGAAAATTCAGAAAACAGAGGATCTCATCAGATGGAATTAGTAATACTTTGAAAAGTTTAGGCCAGTTTTAGTTTAATGGCTCTACTGATAATTCATACTTAAGATGACTAACAATGACAAAAGCCTTATTAACTATAGAGAAAATACAGAAGATATTCTTTCCCTCATTGCATTTCTATGCATATATGAAAAAAAAGTTTAAATAGAAGAAAATATCTGCCAAACAATTTATGTTATAAAGATACAACTTAATGTTTTTACTTTAACATCAAAAGGAAATTATTGCAGGTACATTTCTTGTTTCTCTGCAACAAAATATATATTTAATTTTTTAAAGAATTATTTTATTTAACTTTATTTATTGCTATTATTTTTTATATGACCAGAGATACAGAGAGAGAGAGAAGGAAAGTGAGAAAGCTAGCTCCCTGGTCTGGGACTTGAACTGCAGTTGACCCAGTGGGAGTCTAGCACCAGTGCCTTAACCACCATACCATCCACCAGCTCCTAGATTTAATTTTTAGTTTAAATTTTGATCCTACCTAATGTTAGTAAACCTTAGTTGCTAAAGAGGAATCATTTGAATGACAATAATATTAGGTCTTAGAGAAAGTCATAATGTATTTTTCTGTATTTCTGTGTAAAAATGCATCATGACTTTCCTGAAGACCAAATAGATGTTCTTTCAATTGATGAATTTCAAGTTTGTCCTTTAATTTTTTCAACTGCTCATGTTTTTGTCCTTTTTGTCTGATACATTTCCAGTGGATACTTGTTTTTGATTATTAAATACTTATCATGGTCTTAGGAAAAAAAGCAATATAGCAATTAATCAAACTATTTTCCCACAAGACATCATTAAAATGTTCATCTCCAGGGTTTTTTTCATTGGGTAATTCTCAAAAGTGATCTCCTTTTTCAAGAGGAACTGTTAGACTCCCCAAACACTAAAATCAAATAATTACCTCTTCTTGAATATGTCATTATATTGTTTTACAATGTTAGTTTTTAGTTTTTAATGTAACAACAAAAATTCCAGAGGGAACACACACATATACAGAATACAAAGCTGGAAATTTTATATGTTACTAGCTCCCCAAAGATGCTTTCAGGTACGGTGGACTATATGGAGGTTTGTTGCTGGAATGAATAACAGCATAATAAATATTGGAAGACAGTGGCTAGCAGAAAAAGATATATTCAAGCTGTCTTGATGAAAAAGCTTTGGCATTATATAACTGTAACTTCTGTTTAGTTAATTATTTGACAAATAACTATAGATGATCTCCTTGCACTAGATACCACTAAAGGTAGGTGTTTAAACTGGGTACATAACAGCTTAAAAATGTAAAAATGGTTTAAGAGTTCGAGTTAGGGTGCTTTGCAGAAATATTGACAACTGGTTGCAATATTGTCTGACAAATGTCATAACGAAATGAGTGAATGAATAATGGTGCATATGAGAGGCCAGACAGGTGTGCAACAATAACAGGAAGTTCTCTGAGACTGACCCACATGGTAAGGTTCTGAGTTCATGTCCTCACACCTCCCTGTACACACAGGCAACACTTACGATCCAAACCACACAAACCACGCTTGTGTGCTGGCTGAGGCTGGAAGTAGATCGTGGCATGGAAATTGTTGAGAGTCCCTGTCTCTCTGTTTGCTTTTCTCTGTCTCTCTCACTCATGGAGAAAGAAAGAAATTAACTTTAGGACAATAATGTAGAGGCCGGATGGAGGCACGGCAGTTGAGTGTGCTCTACAAGACAATCCCAAGTGAAAAGGGTACTGATTCAGGGTCCAGAAACTCCAGGAGTTCCCCAGACCTCTGTGTGCCCATGATCCAGGGGTGACTGAGGGCTGAGGATGAATCTCACTGGTCAGTAGCTGGTTGGGAATTCTCTTCTCTTTCTTTCTCTCTCAGAGGAAATAGATATATTTAAAAAGAAAAAGAATGAACAAACAAACAAAAAGTATATATGGGGAGAACCTAATCTGACCTGGCAGTCATGGAAGCCACAAAAGCAAATGATTCAACAAAATATAGAAGGTTAACCAATAGGGAACCATGGATAGCACAATAGTTACATTGCTGGACTCCCATTTAGTTAATCATGGTTCAAGTCCTGAACCCAGTGGCTTGAAACACACACCACGCCTATGTGCGTGAATGCCCAAAATCCCTAGAAGAAAATGGAGAAGAGATTGTGGCATGGCCATCCCTCCTAGAGGGTGATTTCTCGTTTTCTGTCTCTTTCTGTCTCTCTGGTGAACATATGCACCCTATTACAAAAATCTCTCTCTCTAAAAAAAAAAAAAAGAAATTAAATAGGTGGAAAGTCCAGTGAAGAAAATGGGAATGGAAAAGTCTCTAGGTACAGAATAAAACATACAAACATAAATGCTCACTTACATTTGAATAAATATGGTAGTTGGTAATATCTAAAATATAGACTATATGAAGAATATTACAAGAGATGAGCCTGGCCTGAGAATGCAGGAACTTGGTTTTCAAGAGCTGTGTTAGCCATATTAAACAACTTGGATGTGTGGCAAGCTTTTGGAATGCTTAAAACAGCTCGATCTTACATGACCAAGTTAGTTAAGTTATAAATGTGATTAAGGATGTGAGGTAGAGCTGTTATAAAAGGTTTGGTTGAGAAGTAGTGAAGGGGAGAGAAAATAGTTACCCCATAGAGTTTCCTAGTAAACGACAAATGTTAACAAAGGACAAGCTCTATTATATATATTTTTTTTTTTGAGAGGTTTTTGCCATAGGGCGCGTGCGCTCACCAGACAGACAGACAGACAGAGACAGAGAGACAGAAAGCGAGAAATCACCCCCCAGGAAGGATGGCCACGCCGCAATCCCTTCTCCTCCATTCTCCTCACAAGATCTTGGGCACGCATGAGCATGCACCCGGCATGAGTTTAAGCCACTGTGTCCAGGACTGGAACCCTGGTGGGCTACTTGGGAGTTCAGTGATGTAGCCATTATGCCATCTGCTGGTCCCTACCCCTCACATTCGTAACATTGTAATGTGTTGCCCTCTATGTTTTAGAAAAAGTAGAACATAGATTTTGTTACTATATTGATTATAACATGTTAATCGACATGCTTCCTTCCTTTACAATTCCTTGGTGGATTTTATAAGTTGTCATTACTGCCTAGACCAAACTTTTTACTTAGAAAGCATAAGTAAAATTCAGAGTACTTGTCAGAATTCGAATTTGATTGAATTTGGTCTAACACTCTGGTAAGCCATGAAATCCTCTCACATTTAACTGGTGTTTTCTTACAGAGTCCAGATTATCCAGAACGTGTGCTCTTCAGGAGTTTATTGTAAAAGAATTTCATATAGATTACATGGAAAAAGGCAATCATTCAGTAGTGACCGAGTTCATCCTTTTGGGGCTCACTGATAATCCAGAGCTTCAGGTGATTGTTTTTGGTGTATTCCTACTGATTTACTTAGTTTCTGTGGTAGGGAATCTAGGTTTGATTGTGCTAATCCAGATCACTCCTCAGCTTCACACTCCTATGTATTTTTTCCTCAGCCATCTGGCTTTTGTTGATTTTTATGGTACTTCTACTATCACCCCAAATACTCTTGTGAACTGCTTACGTGAAATTAAAAGCATGTCATTTTATGCATGTGCCACTCAAGTATGTTGCTTTATCACGTTTTCAGTTTGGGAATTATTAATGCTTTCTGTTATGGCATATGATCGGTTTGTTGCCATCTGTAATCCTTTACTCTATGTAGTTCTCATGCCCAGGAAACTCTGCATTCAAATGATCGCTAGTTCATATATTTATGGGTTCATTGTGGGACTCGTACAAGCAGTGGCTACATTCCACATGTCTTTCTGTGACTCTAACGTGGTCAACCAGTTCTACTGTGATGATGTTCCCTTGATTGCTCTGGCTTGTTCCGATACCCATGTCAAAGAGCTAATGTTGTTAATCATTGCTGGGTTCAATGTTTTTTGTTCTCTTATCATTGTTCTAATGTCCTATGTATTCATTGTTTTTGCCATCCTAAGGATCCAGTCTGCTGTAGGAAGACAGAAAGCCTTTTCTACCTGTGCGTCTCATGTGTTTTCTATCTCTCTATATTATGGGACCCTCAGTTTTATGTACTTACAACCCAAATCAAGCCATTCCCTAGATAAAGATAAATTTGCATCAGTATTCTACGCAGTGGTGATCCCCATGCTAAACCCATTGATCTACAGCTTGAGGAATCAGGAGGTAAAGAATGCTATGAAAAAAGTTATTGACAAAAATGTGTTATAAAGCCCAGTCATGGTGACACAGGCATTAGAGCAGCTGCTGAAGGATGCTGGAGACCACGTGGGACGTCTCCCACTTTGCCTCTGGTCAAAATCAGCACATAGAAATTCTATGGCCCTAGCTGTCCTGGCGATGGAAGCCATCTTAGGATGAAGATCCTGTTAAGGGTGTCTCTCTCCATCTAGAAATAAATGAATCTGAGTTTTTTCTTTTAAAGTATATTCTAATGATCAATAGTAAATTTTGTTGTTAAAGAAATGCTGAATAAAGATTCAGGGAATCTGAATCTGATCATAGTGTAGTTCTAGTACTTGTAGAAGCTTTTGTTTTGTGGAGTTCATCTTTCTGTTATGTGTTTCTTTGAAAATAGACATTTTTATTATCTTTGGTTTACACATAATAGTTGTTTTATATATTTTTTCCTGATTGTTTAATTCTGAAAGAGAAATAAGAATGATATATTCTCTTTTACAGTGAGCTGCTTCAGTAATAAATCGAGGTGAAGAACAAAACACCTTGAAATTATGACTTTATCTTATTTCATTATGATATTGAGAATTTTAGGTAATCGTTAGAAACATAAAGTACTGATTATTGTATATAATACTAAAAATATCAGGTACAGTTTTATTCCACAGATTAACTGGGGGAAAAGGTGCTTTTGCTGAAAAGCTTTGTTTTGAAATGTCGTAAGTTACTTTACTCTTCACTTTATGGTGCATCTGTCGATTGCACTCCTCCTTCCATATTCCCCTCACATTCAGCTGGAACTTTTGCTGGAGTGATGGCTTTTGGGTAAAGTAACACACCATGATCTAATTGTCCTGTCCTTGTTATGTTATGTTAACTTATATGTGTATATAAGCATGTATATATCACTTACATAGAATAGCCTAAATAGACATTTTATAAATGTTTCCTTGATTGTTTAATTTAAAAGAGAGATTAAGAATCATGTATTCTCTTTAACCATGAGTTCCTTCAATAATAAATGCAGAAAAAAAAGATCCTAAAGTTATTACTTCTTTATTGAAAAGATATTGAGAATTTTAGGTAATCTTAGGGCACATTTTGTTTATGTGTATACATGCATACATACATATTTTTTTTTCAGTTGACCATTGGCAATGTCACCAGGCACAGAAGTTCTAAAAGATGCAATTTTCCGTGTTTCATATAGACTTCTCCTGACCCCATTGTACTTAACCACCCCTAATGTCATATATTCAGCAGATTGATTACTTCAGTTAGCACACTAAGTTTTTTTCTTGCCTGCTTGTCCACTGTCATAGGTAGTCAAAGATTCCATTTTCTTAATACCCTACACATAACCGTGATAGAACTTAATATTACAGAATTAGGAAAGGAATACAGAAATCAAATCACAGATTATAATGGTTAAAAAGGTCTTTTCTTAGTAACTACTAGTTTACAGATCCTTGATTTTGTGCAGTTGGAAATGCTGTATCCTATATTTCTGTTGGTCCAGAACCTACAGCTTATTGTGGAAAATAGTGTTCCATCCTACCAAGTTTGGTTTTTTAGTTGATAACTTAGCTGAGCTGTCAAAATACCACTCAAGTGTTCTATCAAACCAGTTGATTGTCAGTCATGAGTATAAGTTAAGACCTTGCATGTGTGTGTGTGTGTGTGTGTGTGTGTGTGTGTACCATGATCATGTCAAATTTTTACTACTATGAGCAATATTGTACGGTGGGTAAAGTACCCTTTGTGGGAAGATGATAATCCCTTAGATATTGTACGTGGGTAAACAAAATTGTCACTCAACATTCCGATTTCAGTTGATGTTCTCTCTAATATTGAAGAGTTCTGCTATAATGTACTTATTACCATATTTTTACTTGTTTCTCAAAACCATTGATGTCATAATCAGATCTCCTTCTGCCTGACTGGATATCCAACACTGACAGCTGTACAAAGAAGTCTCTGCTGTTGGATACACGTACAGGACTTCATTCCTGACACTGAGATTATTCTGTTTGTGGTGTCATTGCACATATGGTGTCAAAGCACTGGATTGCTAGAGAGGAGTGAGGATGATTGTCGACTACTGGAAAGGTCCTCTAGCTCTCCTCATTCTTGTAAACTTTCTTGGCTGTTACTACTCTTTAGTAGTTAAAAAAATTAAATAAATGTTTTGTGCACTATCATACAAATTCATCTAAAGTCCTTTTCCCTAGAATACTATGCTCTTTCAAACTTGTTATTTGCAGTCCTCTACCTAACTGTCCAACACTATTAACAAATCTTATATATCCATTCCATAAGGCCATATTTTCTCTATATGGAATGGAAGGACAAAAATTCTGCTGTGGGGACCATTTGCTTTCTCATTACCCCAGAGAACCACCTCTTTGTGGGACTATAATGAAGCACAAGACCGTTTCTGATTATTTCCTTAATAATGTAGCAACACTTCTTTTTCAGTAGGTCCAAATCTTACTTGGAAATTTCTCAGTTAAAACTCCTAACCCATGAAATCATGGCATGGATTGCCCTAGAGATGACTGTGTAGCAGAACTCATTCCTCCTACCTACCTGGCAATTTTGTATCTATTAACAAAGTTCTCCTTATAAGACAATGATTTTTTGAAATTAAACTGAATGTACTTCAGGCCAATATGAAATTAATGGCTTAATTATTTGCTCATTGCTTAACAGATTATTGAGTTGCAGATGTATAGTAGGCTCTTTGATGCAGTCCAAAATCATTACTTTTTAGCCTTGTAAAATACAATAGCAAATTATTTAATTTTTATCTAGTGTATAATTTAGTCTTACTAAAATGTACACATTTAATAAAATCTATGTTAAAGTATAAAACGTAAACCAAAACTAAACATTTTGTGTTTCCCATATGTTAAAATAATCTTTGTTCTTAGGTATTAATTTTTTTTATTATAGTAGGACTCAGAATCATGACCAGGTATTCAAGTGATTATTTTGCACCTTTTGAGCAAATTGGGTCCCAAAAGATCAACCATAATATAATTGTTTACTCTTGCAAAGCATCATTATATTTTTATTCAGAAGTTTTTAAAAAAGTGATGTAATTCAAAGAAAATATTCTGGAGGGAACAACAGATCACACAACCTACACTGACATTATTTAAGCAATATTAAGTGTTCTTGGCAGGCACAAAGTTTGTCTTAAGATACATTAGAACTCTTTTGGTTTTGTTGTGGATTACTGAAGAACAATATGTAGTGGGGAAAAATCAAGGTAACTGAAGTAGTGAAAAAAGGGTTTGGAGTAACATAAACGTTGTATATATTGGTTCAATTTTTCTCTTAGTATATCTGGAGTGCCTACTATTTGCTGAACTCCAGTAGGTATTGGCGGGGGGGGCGGGGGTTGGAAGTATTTTTGCTTACTAAGAATTTAAAGTTTAAAATATTGCATTGTTAGAAAAGTCACAATGCATTTTTGCATGGAAAAAAATACATTATGATTTTTCTGACAACACATGGTTTACAAATACGTTAACCAGTGACTGAATGATTGCATGTAACTAGTGAGAGATAATGGAACACAGGAAATGGAATTGTTCCTCAGATCAGAAGAGTAAGTAGTAACATGGTGGTCAACCACAGAGGTGAAAAGTAAGGAGTATTCTGGACAAACTGTGTACAAAATTCACGGTCATATTTGAGAACCTGATAGTATGTAACATGGCTGATTCATGGGATTTATGTAAGATGTTGCAGACATTAGGCTAGTCTACAAAAATAAAAATGACTTGTTTATCAAATATTTAATTAACCACAGTAAGAAGCTTGGACTTTATCTCAGATTAATAGAAAATGAGAATCCAAGAATTGCATTTAATAAGTACACACAAGGGACCAGCAGTTAGTGAAATGGCTATGTCGCTGGACTCCCATGTGGTTGACTGTGGTTTGAGTCCCAAACCCATTGGCTTAAAATTTACTCTGGGCACTTGTGCATGCATGCCCAAGATTCTGAGAGGAGAATGGAGGAGATGGAATTGTGGCGTGGCCATGCCCTCATGGGGTGATTTTTAGCTTTCTACCTCTCTGTCTCTCTCTGTCTGTCTGGCAAGCGCACACACTCTATAGCAAAAACCTCTCTAAAGGGAAAAAAAATAAATTAAAAAAAAGTACACTCAAAACACCGTATGCACAAAAAGGGTGGCTAACAGAATAAAGATCAATAATCTAGAGAGTTGAGTTGTTATTTGAAGCCAAAACAAATAAAATATATTTGTTTTAAGTAACCAGCTTTGGGAAAAAAATGGGTTAAATAATTACTAATTTTCAACAGTTAATTATTTATTTGTAGAAGTTAGAGGAAAATATGTTTCATAATCATTTTTTTTCATTTTGTTTTTCACCTGGTACAGAACATAGCACCATATACTGAATTAGATAATAGATACTCCATGGGTCAGAAGGTGGTGTGGAGGTTAAGGCAGCTGGATCCCACATGGTCGACTTTATGGTTCAAGTCCTGGGCCCAGCAGCTTGAAAGTCACACTGAGCCTTTGTGCATTGGTGCACAAAATTCCAAGAGGAGACTGGAGGAGAGGGATTATGGCATGGTTGCCCTCCCCTTGGGGCATTGACTTCTAACTTTCTCTCTATGGAGAGGGCATACACTCTATAGCAAAAACAAAAATGAAAATAGATACTCCAAGGCATTTGAGTAAGGTAGCATTTTTTAAAAGAATTATTTATTTAATTTTATATTATTATTTTAAATTTGATCCGAGAGACAGAGAAAGAAAGGGAAAGTGAGAAAGTAAGCCCTCTAGTCCAGGACTTGAACCATAGTAGGCTATGTGGGAGTCCAGCACCCCAATCACCACACCACCTGCTGGCCCTTAGTATTTTTTTTTTTAATTGAAGAGATTTATTTGAACATGCTACATTTAGATATCCATGGGATATCTAACTGGAGTTGCCTAGTGAGCAACTATATGAGAGAGCTTCAAAAAGGACATAGAAAAGATTAAATTAAAGTACTAGGTGTTTTGTGTAAAATTTTTTGGAAATCCATATTCTTTTCATAAAATACATTTTTCACGAACTTTTTAACCATCCTTCATATATTTGTAACTGGAGGTCAAAGGAAAAATCTAGGCTAGAGATTCATATTTTTGCATCACTAATCCATAAATGACGTTTGCCCTATAGCATTAGTGGCAGCTCCCAACGAAAATATGCAAGTGACATGAATTAGCTTAAAAAGTCCCTAAATTAATAGTTTCATTTAAAGCAGAAGCAAAGGGTGTGTAACTATCAAGGAAAGCAAAAGTGAAGAGAAAAGATGAGAAAACTCCTGAAATTTTGGATGAAAAAATCCCAGAGATTTTAGTGACATTAAAAAAAAAAAATCCAAAAAACAAATATAAAGGAGGCGAGGGGCTGATGGCAGTGGTGTTCAGTACAACAGAGAAGTCAAATAAATCTTCTTTGGATTTAAGAGGAATGGGAATGTGGGTACCATGGAGTAATTGCACTACAATGCTGAGAAAAAAATACAACAGATTGAGATGTAAATGTGAAGGATGCAGTAAACCTTGATGACTTCTATAGAACATTCAGTATGAAGGAATGAAGAGAAGAAAGGTAAGGGGAATAAAGGTAGAGCTATAGAAGTCAGAACGCACTAACTTTCACTTGTATCTTTTTTTTTTTTAAAGATTGATGGGAAAGACTGAATAAATTAGCAGAGAAAGTAGATACAGGAAATAAGAATATGATATCTAAAATGTAAGATGAGGTATTATAAATGGAACACAGCCCATTATCCTCCTCCCCATCTCACCCATTAAAAAAAAAAACAAAAAAAAAAACAAAAAAAAAAACACCCAAAAAACAGAATAGTGGTGGAATTGATAACCAGAAATGAGAATATTTTAATTTTATTATGTTAAGTCCTTCTCTAATGTCAGAAATATCAGTCACTGAGCTAGGGCCAGGGCTTCCCTGGTAGCCTAGTTGTTAAGGGAGCTGAATCTCATATGTCTGACTGTGCAGCTCCATTCCCATCCTTGGAGGATTGAAGAAAATGCTGTACACATGTGCGTGCATAACCCAAATCCCAACAAGATGAAAAAAAGGAGGAAAAGGGATTGCATTGTGACCCTGTCACATTGTGGGGAAAAGAGAGGTGCTTTTTTTTCTCTCTGTCTCTGTCTCTCTCTTTCCAACAAGTGTATGCACTCTCTGGCAATCAAGAAAAGGAGATATCGAGAATATGAGATGCCATATATTAAATGTCTGGTATGCATGGAGACTGATGTTAACTTTGTGAAGGTCAGTGATCTGGATGTCAAGGTTTTCAATGAATAAGGAGTGATCTGGTATATAATTGTATAAGGGCCTGCTCTCATTAGGTAAGTTTATAGAAATGCAAGATATTAATAATAAATATGAGACAATACTTCAAGCATTAATAGTATCACCTGCAAAATTTGAAATATGTAAAGCTTCGAATTGAGAATACAAGTAGCCTGGAAGGGAGCTAGCAGATGGTGTAGTGTTTACGTTGCTAGACTCTCACATGGCCAATGGTTTAAGTCCCAGACCTGATGGCTTGAAAATCAAGTAGGTTACATGTGCGAGCATGTCCAAGATCCCAAGAGGAGAATAGAGGAGAAAGGATTGTGGTGCGGCCATACCTCCTAGGAGGTGATTTCTCATTTTTCCTCTGTCTCTGTCTCTCTCTCTTCAGCAAGTGCACACTATCTAAGCCAAAGTCCTCTAAAATAAGAGGGAGGGGGAAGAAGTATTCTGAAAAGAAGCAGGTTTTCAAGAAGCCAAGTATAATTTTAAGAAGAGAGGAATCAGGGGCCAGCAGATGGCATGGTGGTTAAGGGCACTGGATTCTCACATGACCAACCATGATTCAAGTCCCGGACCTGGCAACTTGCTTTCTCACTTTACTTCTCTCTCTCTCTCTCTTTCTCTCTCTCTTCTCTCTCTATCTCTGGTCAAATTAAAATAAATAAATAAATAAAGTTAAATAAAAATAGTTAAAAAAAAAAGAGAGGAATCAAATGATTGACGATGCTGCAGAGTTTGATAATATCAGAGCAAAGGGTACGTAGGTTTCAATTCAGCACTACATAAGTTCTAAATAAAACTAGTGCTAGGAGAGGTAAAAATTAGACATCATAAGTTAGTGATGTAATAAAAGAACACATAAAAATATTGAAAGGAAGACAAAGCTCTTATACAATTGGGATTACTTTCAGACTTTTACAGCGTAAAACTCAATTTAAATAATATTGATACAGGGGCTGGCAGGTGGTGTAGTGGTTAAGGACGCTCACATGGCCGAATGTGGTTCGAGTCCCAGACCTGGCGTCTTGCTTTGTCTTTCTCTCTCTCTGTCTTTCCCTGGTCAAATTAAAATAAATAAATAAAGTTAAATAAAATAATTATTTAAAAGAAAAGAAAAGAGGAAGTTTAAAAATAATAATAATAATAATAATATTGATACCATTAGGAACTAAAAGTAATTCACTTGGCACATAATATGAGATAGGGGTTGTTCTAAACACATGCCAAACACAAAATCATAGATTGCCTTTCTGAAATTGTATTTACCTATGGTTGATGGGGAAATTCTTGTCTTTCTCAAAGAAATTATTTGTATAATTATGAATTAAGGTGAGGGAATAAAGAACCAGTGAGTGAGTTATTCTACTTTACCCTGTGTCTGTCAGGAAGAGAGTTCATGTCCTTCAGTTTCCATATCTGAAAATGAAGGTAATACTCAGACTGTCAGTCCATAAGCTTGGTGTAAAGATAACCTGAGATAAAATAGTGACAAAATGATAATCGAGTTTATATCTCTTCTGTTTACGTGAAGATCATTAAAAGTTGACTTTTTAAATTAACCTGGAGCCAGTGCATACTTCTACAAACTCATCATAAAATTTTTTCTCTCCTACTTTTTATTTAGATGTTCTAAAATACATGATAATTATGTCTTTTGAATCACTTAATGTATTTTAATACCATCTTGTATATTTCAAAAAAAAGCAAGCACTTACTTTTCTGTGATTTTTTTCTCTTTAATTCACAAATATAACATAACTGAAGGAAAATCAATATATACAACAATACATAAAACAAGAAAATAAAAATTTTAAATAATCCCAATTTTTGTTAGAGAGACTGTCAGTCTCCAAAATTTTGAAGAGGACCCTTCATACTAACACTTAATGCAATAATTTTTTTTTGAATTTATGATCTCCTCTTAATTTAAATTATCCAAAAGAATGGGTATAATTTTTTAAAGTATTCAACAATCCTAAGAAATGATTTGCAATATATGTTCCAACAGATTTCCATCTTTATTTTCTCTTAGAAAAAAAAGGAGATATGATTGAGCCAGCAGGTAGTATGGAGGTTAAGGCAACTGGATTCCATTTGGCTGACTATGCAGTTCGGTCTGGGGCCAGTTGCTAGAAAATCAAACTGGAAAGGTGTGTGTGTACCCAAAATCCCAGGAGGAGAATAGAGAAGGGATTGTGGCATGACCATCCATTTCTCACTTTTCTTCTCTCACTGTCCCTCTTGGATGAGTACACATGTCCTATAGCAAAAAAATAAATAAATAAATAAATAAAAAGAAAGAAAGATATGATGTTAATCATTTAATAATAGACACTTATAATGGACACTACCCAAATGATATTTTTTTAATAACTAACTGTAGAAGTTTAAAATATCATCTTTTTTCTCTTTTTTTTAACAAATCCCCACAGAGAATTTCTACGTAGAACATATCACTTCATTCTGAAAGCAAAACTAACAAGAAGATACTCCTTTGAATGCATTCAACATAAGAACAGGATGGGTCAGAACCATCCCTTATCATTTTCTTGATTATCGACAACAGGAACAAGATTACTCAGAACATACGCTCTGAAGGATTTTGTAGAAAACTTTTCATGGCTAAAGGCAATCATTCATCAGTGTCTGAGTTTATCCTCATGGGGTTCACAGATAATCCACAGCTTCAAGCTGTTCTCTTTGGTGTATTCCTAGTGATCTATTTAGTTAGTGTCATGGGTAATCTTGGTTTGATTGTGTTAATCCACCTCAGTCCTCAGCTTCACACTCCTATGTATTTTTTCCTCAGCCATCTGGCTTTTGTTGATTTTTCTTTTACTTCATCTGTGACCCCAAATACCTTGATAAATTTTCTGTGTCAAATTAAAAGCATAACATTTTATGCATGTGCCATTCAGGTTTGTTGCTTCATCACATTCGTAGTTTGTGAACTATATTTGCTCTCAATTATGGCATATGATCGATATGTTGCCATCTGTAACCCTTTACTTTATGTCATTCTCATGCCTAGAAAACTCTGTATTCAAATGATGGCAAGCACATATGTGTATGGATTTGCTGTGGGTCTTGTACAGACAGTCGTGACATTTCGCTTGTCTTTCTGTGACTCCAATGTAGTCAACCACTTCTACTGTGACGATGTCCCTTTAGTTGCTCTGGCCTGTTCTGACACTCACGTCAAAGAGCTGATGCTGTTAATCATTGCTGGATTCAACACCCTCTGCTCTCTAGTGATTGTAATTATCTCTTATGTCTTCATCCTCTTTGCCATCCTGAAGATCCATTCTGCTGAAGGACGACATAAAGCATTTTCTACCTGTGCTTCTCATCTGACATCCATCACAATATTTTATGGAACGATTATTTTTATGTACCTGCAGCCCAAGTCCAGCCATTCTCTGAACACAGACAAATTTGCTTCAGTGTTTTATGTGGTAGTAATTCCCATGTTAAACCCATTGATCTATAGCTTGAGAAATCAGGAGGTGAAAAGTGCACTGAAGAGAATTACAGAAAAATTTTGCTTGGCTATCAAGTAGCCTTAAAATCACTGGACAGTTATGAGAGTATTTTGACCTCCATCTTATCTAAAGTCACAATGGTGATAAATAATTGAGCCAAATTCCTCACTTTAATTCCACAGACTCAGGGTATGTTTCATCTACTGTTTCATTCTCAGTAGTTTCAACTTGAAAGATATTTTGTAAATTTTGAGATCGTCATCAAGAAAGAATCAGTATTGGGAAATAGTGGTTTCATCTGAACTGATAATTTGATTAAAAGAGATAATTTGGTTAAAAGTCAAAATTTAATAGCAAGAATTTTTTTTGAGAGAGATTTTCGCTATAGGGCGCGTGCGCTCGCCAGACAGACAGAGACCGAGAGACAGAAAGTGAGAAATCACCCCCCAGGGGGAATGGCCACGCCGCAATCCCTTCTCCTCTATTCTCCTCTCGGGATCTTGGGCACGCACACACACGCGCCCAGCGTGAGTGTTAAGCCACCGGGTCCGGCAGGGGGAGGGAGGGGCGAAAAAAAAATACGTGGGAGTCCAGCGACATAGCCATTACACCAACTGCTGGTTCCCAATAGCAAGAATTTTTGTTGTTGTTAAGACGATAATTTATCTACTACTCCACTTTCTGTTCATTCTGTCAGGAAGGATACAACTAGAAGAGTTGCCTTTACATTGAGTATTTAGCAGCATTGGTTTTGTGTAATTTAGATCACTGAGGCCACTTCACACCATCGTAATCCATTGCCTGTTATATGTAAGTTTATGATTAGGAATTAGACAATTCAAAGATTTTGACTGAGAATTTTAACTCTTACGATCAACACATGTTTTCATGAGTAAATTACTTTACATTTCTATACTTCTGTTTCTTTATCTGCGAAAAAGCAATAATAGATTCTTTCTTCTTGAATAAGTGTGAGAATTAAATAGAATTATAAAGATACAAAGCATTGCACATAGTAGACCCACCCCCAAATGATAGTATTTTTTAACTAATAACTTTTTTTGTATCAGTAATCTTTCATTTGGTCTTACATAATAAGGAAATTGCTATTTTAGAAATATTTGGAAATATGACATTCATTTAAAAACTGACAAAATGAGAAAATATATAAAAACTAAAGAGTTACTTTCTTGTGATGTTTTAACAATTTATGTTTTTAAATTTCTTTGTGTGTATGTGTTAATGAACATATTTAGAAAAAGAAATTAACTTCCTTCATTTCTGCTATTTAAAATATTTATATTTTTTCTTAAATAAATGTGGTCAGTTTTACCTCTTTTAGCAAATATTAGATTACTAACTAAAGAACCTATTTAGTTCCAACTTTCAAAATAAAAATTAGCTACCATTTACTAAATGTTTTTCTTGTGTCAAGTGCTGAGTAAATGTATTAAATGGATTGCTTCATTTTATAACACACAAATGAGATGTAAATCTTCAAAACTATTTAATTCATTAACACCATACACCTTACAACTATAAGAAAGGAATCTAGTTCAGTTTTGCCAACAATAAGATTTAAATTTTAATAAAATGAGTTTATTTATTTATTCCATAAATAAGAAAGATAGAGACAGAGTCTCAATGTCATGGTCCACCCCCAGGTTCAATCAGCATGAATTATGGTCACGTGTATCAGTGTACTCAGGCAGATCTTCAGACACAGATGAGTGACATGCTCATATTGGTCTGTCTCACATACTTTCATGTTTCATCATTATTCCATCTGGCCCCAATTTTTAAATGACTGTCCTATACTTCCAACTAGAGTTATACAATATCAGTTTATCGATTGTTCAACCAAATGGTGATTAATAAAAATTAGATTTAAATAAAAATCCCTTATACGTTAAACAAATCGTAAGAAAAGTATGCGAGCCTAAGTGTGGCAGTGAAAATGCTCCTATCTCTCACGTTGTTCATTTATTCAGGAAAGAAAGTAAAAAGACAGGTCATCATGTATAAGAGAGAGGACTTTTTGCCTTTATTATTGTTTTACTATTAGTGATGTTAACTTCAAGTATCTTTGAGGATCTTCCACATCCCCCCAAAAGTCATTTTTAGCTGTTTTTATAAAGCCTGGCAGTATTTCACTTCAACATTTTACTTCACTGGGTTTCATTTATTGTTTTTTAACTGCCTTGGTTTAGAACCTAAAGAAAAGACCCTTAACAATTCCAAGGCACAATTTTCTCACTTATGAATCTCTACTTTTAGAAGAAATGATCTTTAATGATATTGAAACCTATGTAGTTACTTGCGTAATAAAATAGCAGCAAGCTATCCTAAGTCTAATTACTTAAAAAATGAATCAAGTGCTAAGAGAAAGGCCTGAGAAAAAGTATAATCCATAAATATGTAGTTACTAGAGGCTCTTAATTACTAGAGGCTTTTTAAATTTTTTTGGAGAGGTTTTTGCAAGAGGGTGCGTGTGCTCCCAAGAAAGCCAGAGAGACACAGAAAGCAAGAAATCACCCCCTGGGAAGGGATGGCCACCCCACAATCATTTCTCTTCCATTCTCCTCTTGGGATCTTGAGCACACATGCACACACACCTGGTGTGAGTTTAAGCCACTGGGTCTGGAACTTGAACTGTGGTCAACTACGTGGGAGTCCAGCGACATAGCCATTACCCCAACTGCTGGTCCCCTAAAGGATCTTCTTCATGGACTATATATAGTCTGAAATTACTTTTAATGCAGTCGAACTAAAATAATAATTAATAAAATAAAATGAGAACCTATGAATTGGAAAAAAAATACTTCAAACCATCTATCTAATGACTAATGTATAAAATTTATGAGAACTCATATAACTCAATGACATAAAATGCTAATTAAAAATGGGAAAGGACCTCTTAGCTATTTCTCCAAAGGCAATGTAAACATGACGAAAAGATACATGAAACATACTCAGTCTCACTAATCATCAAATAAATGTAAATCAAGAACCAGCTGTTAGCATAACGGCTATGTCTCTGGACACCCATGTGGCCATCCCCCCTGAGGGGGTAATTTCTTGCTTTCTGTCTCTCTGGTGAGTGCACGAATCCTATAGCTAAAACCTCTCAATAAAAATGCAAATCAAAACTTCTATGAGAAATCACATAACACTGGTTAGGATAAATATTTTTTTACAAAACAAGCAATAACAAGTATTGGTTAAGGTATAGAGAAAGGGCAACCTTTGTGTATCATTGGTGGGAATGTAAATTGGTACAGTTACTATGGAAAACAATATGGAAGTTCTTGAAGAAATTAAAAAAGATCTACACATAACACAACAATTTCTGTTCTAGACATATGCCTAAAATAAATTAATTCTCTACTGGATAAAGATATCTGCATTCTATTCATTGCAGCCTTATTCACAATAGGCAGGATATGAAAACAACCTAGATGCCTATCAATAAATTACTGGATAAAGAAATTGTGAAGTATGTGTATGAGTGTGTGTGTGTGTGTGTGTGTGTGTGTTTATAATGAAATATTGCTTGGCCTTGAATAAGGAAGAAACTTTTATTTGCTATAGTATGGATTAATTTGAAGGACATTATATTGAGAGAAATAAGCCAAACACTCACACACACACAATTGCATGATCTTTTTTATATGTGAATTTTTAAAAAGAAAGTCAAGAATACAGAAATAAAGAATAAAACAGTGTGAGAGAAAATGAGGAAATGAGGAAATGTAGGACAAAGGATATAAATAGCAGATATGTAGGATAAACAAATGTAAATTTCTTATGTATAACATGAGGGCTATAATTAATAATAGTGTATTGTACTCATGAGTTTTGTTAAATGGGTACATTTTAGATGCATTTGCCCCAAGATGTAAACTATGTAGGATGATGAATACGTTAATTTGTTTCACCGTAATAGCCATTTTACTGTATCCCATAACATCATGTTGAATATACACAATAAAGTTATTTTCTACAAATGAAAAGAAATAGGTGTCTCTGAACTAAGAACTGAAGGACTATAAGAACATTATGAGCAAGCATACCTGGGGACAAAATCAACAATGTTGATTTTGGTGGTTTTACTGAGTGACTGGTGTTTTGAGACATGACCTCAGTCATGTAACACAATTCCTAAAGTGCAATTGTAGAAATTGCACAAACTCTATCTGAGTGGAATTTTCTCAAAAAATTATAAGTAGACAGGGACCAGCAGTTAGTGTAATGGCTATGTCGCTGGACTCCCACGTAGTCGACCGCGGTTCAAGTCCCGGACCCAGTGGCTTAAACTCACGCCAGGCGCGTGTGCGTGCGTGCCCAAGATCCCGAGAGGAGAATGGAGGAGAAGGGATTGCAGCGTGGCCATCCCCCCTGGGGGGTGATTTCTTACTTTCTATCTCTCTGTCTCTCTCTGTCTGTCTGGTGAGCACACGCGCCCTATAGCAAAAACCTCTCCAAAAAATATATATATAAGTAAAACTACCTTATGATACAGTAATTCCACTACTGGGTATACAGATATATATCCAAAGATAGGAAATCAATATGTCAAAAAATATAGAAATTCTTTTTTAAAAATTAATTATTTTATTAACTTTATTTATTTTAATTAGACCAGAGGGGGATTTAGCATGTATGCACACAAGAGAAAGGACATATGAGAAAGCAAGCTGCCAGGTCCAGAATTCGAACCATGGTCAGCCATGTGGGAATCCAGCACCCTTAACCACAATGCCACCTGGTAGTCTCCCCAAAATATATTAACTTCTATGTTTATTATATCACTATTCACAATAGCTGAGATATGAAATCAACCTAAGGGCCTAACAGCTCATAAATGGAAAAAAAAAGTGTATATATGAACAATGGAACACTATGCAGATATAAAAATGGATGAATTCTTGTCAGTTGAGGCAAAATAGGCGAAGATAGCATAAATAATGCTAAGTGAAATAAGCAATGCTCTAAATGACAAGTACTATAGCTCAAAGCCCATCATCAGAATTTAAAAGACTCAATTGCTTAGAAGTAGAGACTGTAATGGTAACTACCAGAAGACAGGGGTGGACTGTAGTGAGATGGGGCAAGCTTGTTTAACAGATACACGTGTGATATAAACAAGTCTAATGGGTTATAGAATATTATAGCACAAAAAAGTCTTAGTGACAATTTAAAATGTATCGTTTCCTCCTAAATACCTAGTAGAGCAAATTTTGAATGTATACAACACAAAGTAATGTTGAATGTCAGAGATCATGGCTTTATTCATCCCTTGTTTTGATTATTACACGTTATATACATGCTTTGAAAAACCACAATGTGCTTCACAATGATGTTCAACTATTAAATTTAAATGAGAAATAAAAATTTTAAAAATAATTATTCAAAATTCTAAGGAATTAAAATTATGTAAAGATATGACAACATCAATTACTGTTAAAACATCACTGCTTCGAGTAATTCTGTGAAGCAAAAGGTATACAGAAAAACTAAAAAAAAAAAGAAGTTTTCCTCAGGTGAGTCATCAAGATTCTATAGACCTGAATTTCTTTACTTACTAAAAGACAGACACTTCTATTTGTCATGTATGTGAAGTGTGAGAATATTGTGCGTACCTGTCAATGTAAACATACTCTCACAAGACACAGTGTGGGGAATGAAAACTCTGAGCTTCTCTGTTAAATCTGTTTTATGAGCCAGAGATTCTAGAAATCGTCATTACACAGTATGTACATCTATAAAATATCACATTTCATCCCATAAATATGTTTAATTATTATTCGTCAGTTTAATAAAATAACAATAAAAATAAAGAAAATATGTAACTTCAAAAAAAAGACAATTCATTCAACTCACAAGATAACACTTTCTAAAAGTGTATATGAGTCATTAACAAATGAAGTGAAAAAGAGGAAAAAATATCACCTTGTATTGCAAACCTCAAATTGTATTCTATATAGTGACTGCCAGTATCATTTCCTTCTAAAATGGAAAAATAGTAAGTTAATATTAAATCACTAGCTTAACTACTTATCATGAAATGTCAAAATAATAGACATAGCAAATCTCTAATGTCAAAGTATATGTGAGAACCTATAAGGATGATTGAATAAAGAGTGGCATAAATAATAATCTAAGACATTTCTAATGTTAAATATATACAAATGCATTGAATTTATTCACTTCAGAGTATAGCTTCTTATGAACTAATTATATTTTAGAATATGAGAAAACATTTCAATCTAATTCATCTATACAATACCCTTCACTTTTTTCCCTTGTGAAAGAGAGAGAAAGCGAAAGGAAGACAGAGATATTTTTACAGTGTCTCATGGAATCAGTATCTTGTTCAGTTCAATTAGCAGGGATTACAAGTAGGTAGCTGAATGATTTCTAAACTCCCAAACCATCGTGTTGCTGTTATGTAACAGTCATCACATCTGGGACTGTAATATCCTTAATTTTTTCCCCTAAATAATAATTTATTTATTTAAATTTGTTTTATTGTTATTTTTAAATGTGATCAGAGAGAGACAGAGAGAGAGAAAGGGAAAGTAAGAAAGCAAATTGCCAGGTACAGGACTCGAACCATGGTCAGCCATGTGGTAGTCCAACACCTTAGCCACCACACCATCTGCTGACCCAATATCCTTAATTCTTAACAGCCATAGTGTTAAGAAAAAATATTCAGTTAGGTTTGAAGTTACATGCATAATTTTCATGTTATCAGTTACGAGACATTAATAAAAAATTGACACCCAGAACTAACAGTTCATACATCATTTTTTTTGAGAGAGAGAGAGATTTTTGCTATAGGACATGTGTACTCAACAGACAGAAAGACCAAGATAGAGAGACAGAGAGACATAGAGAGACAGAAAGTGAGAAATCACCCCCTCCCCCAAGGGGGGATGGCCATGTTACAATCTCTACTCTTCCATTCTCCTCTTGGGATTTTGGGCACACATGCACATGCACCTGATGTGGGTTTCAGGCCTCCAGGTCCAGGACTTGACCTACTGGTGACCACGTGGGAGTCCAGGGCTTTAAGCACTGCCTCACCTGCTGGTCCCAAGACTTTATACACCTTATGTTTGATTGTAATAAGTAGGAGTACTTGATGAAGGATCTGGCAAGTAGTAGAAAACCCAATCAGGTTTCATCTCTCTTACTTAATGACTGATAAACCTTTGAGAGCTCAGTGAATTAACCTTATATAAAAAACATTCATGCAACTTACATAAAGACCTTATGATTATTAGATATTATTTGAAGCACTTCATAAAAATTAACCTGCAAAATTGTCCAAACAGAACAACCATTAGAATGAGTTCTCTTCTTTTCCAGAATTGGGAACAAAATCACAATATGGTCAATGGTCTGAAGTTGCACAGCTAATAAATGAAAGAAATAATACTCAAACTCAATCTTGTTCCAGAGTCCCAAACACTAACAAGTACTTTATGCTGTCATTGCTGGGGATATACATATGTGTGTTCTCACGTGTTGGCATCTCTATGTTTATATTTGAACATGATCTCAGAGATTGTCAAGACTGTAATGGCTTAAGTAGAACTCCTCAGATCATACTGACTTTTCTGCTTGGATCCTTGTACAAAGTGTAAAGTTCTATTAAAATAACAGCCACATTTTCAGTTAGTTGAAAAATAAGTAGAAGAAAAAGTTGGTTTATTTATCTACTTATATTTAATAAAGTATTATTATTGTCTCATTTTAATATCTTTAAGGTCTCACAACTTTTATTCAAGGCTTTCTTGGAGGCATCTTTTACCTCTTTGTTCCTGAGACTATAGATGAGGGGGTTCAACATAGGGATCACCACTGTGTAAAATACAGAAGCCATTTTATCTGTGTCCAGGGAATGGTTTGATTTGGGCTGCAGGTACATGAAGATCAGCGTGCCATAGAATATAGTAACAGCCACCATATGGGAGCCACAGGTGGAAATGGCCTTGCGTCGCCCCTGGGTAGAGCGGATCCTTAAGATGGCAGCAATGATAAAGATGTAGGAGATGAGGACAATGGAAGATGAACAGATCATATCAAAGCCAGCAAAGGCAAAAATTAGAATTTCCTTCATGTGTGTGTCTGAGCAAGCCAGAGCTAGGAGAGGAAGGTCATCACAATAGAAATGGTTAATTACATTGGGGCCACAGTAAGTCAGACGGAAGGTGATAATGGTGTGGAATAGGGCAACCAGAAAGCTGTATATATATGGAACTGCCACTAGTTGGATGCAGACTCTTTTTGACATCACCGTTGAATAATGCAGGGGACTGCAGATGGCAACATAGCGATCATAGGCCATGGAGGCTAAAAGGAAACACTCAGTGATCATGAAGGTGAGAAAGCAGCCCAGCTGTGCCGCACAAGCATGGAAAAGAATAGTGTTGTGTTCCACAACAAAATTCACCATCATCTTCGGTGTAATAGCGGATGAGTAGCAGAGGTCAACAAAGGCCAAATGACTGAGGAAGTAGTACATAGGGGTGTGAAGTCGAGTGTCAATCCTGATTAAGGTAATCAATCCCAGGTTGCCTATCACTGTGACCAGATAGACAACGAAAAACACCACAAAGCAAGGGGTCTGAAGTTCTGGCCGATCTGTAATTCCTTTGAGAATAAATTCAGTGACATAAGTAATATTAGCTTCAGCCATTTATTTTGGCAGATTTTGCTGCAATTGAAGAATTAAAAGGACACTTCTCATGATCCTTGCTAGGGTTGAGTGAAGGTGGTCACTGGCGTGTTCTTGCCTGGAGTTGTGTCATCATGTGGACAAGACTACATCTTAACTCTCTAATAATATTCCATTCTCGCTCAAGAGAGGCAAATCTTTTCTTTTAGAATAGTCTTCTTAAGAATTGGTTTAGCTTTGATTTTAGAAAATAAGGGAAGATATTTATTACAAATGAAATATTCTGAAACATTAAGATAACTAACTAATATTTTAGTATTATTTGCAGCCACTACTTTTTATATTCATATATGAATATAGCAGTCTCTAAAAAATCACAAATAAAATCATATTTATAATCCTTTTTTTAGTTTGTACATACTCCTATAAAATAGACAAAAATATATCAAAAAATTTTAACAAAAATCAAGCAGTTTATAGACCTTTCCCCATAAATGAGTTGTCAATATATTTCAAGGCCTTAACATATCTAAAGCACTTACTTCAGTTGGTTGTACTTGTAGGAACATATTCAAATAAGATATTCAATTATAGTTTCATGAAAAAAATATAGCACATATGTTCACAGCATTTTACATATATACATATATATTATATAACAAAGACAGAGAGAGATTAGTGGAGTTTTTTTTTTATGACTCTTTAAGAGTAATTATAATTATTGGGACCAGCAGGTGGCATGGTGATTAAGGTGCTGGACACTCCCACATGGCCTACCATGGTTCGAGTTCCAGACCTGGCGGCTTACTTTCTCACTTTCTCCTCTCTCTCTCTCTCTATCTATCTCTGTCTGGTCAAAATAAACTAAGTGAATGAATACATTAAAAATTAAATAAATAATTCTTAAAAAAAGAATAATTGTCATTATATTTCTACCAGTCCTAAAAACAAGACCAATATCATGAAGGTAAACTTTAGATTATTTGAGTTTTATTTTTGCGCGTGACTTTATTTTTTACCAAATAGAACCATAAAATATTAACAAGAGACCCAGCTATTAGCTACCTATCCAACTGCAAGTTTCCATCCTCAAGTTGGTTGAAAACACCTTGGGCATGTGTACATATGCCAGAGATGTTGACAAGCTTGAAGGCATGGACAGGGCATTATGGCATAATGAAATCCTGTCATGGGTGCTTCTCTCTCTCTCTCACCTATGTGTGCTTAAGATCTCTATCATAAACAAAACATATACAATTTTTAAAATGGCAAGAGTGGAACCCTGAGAGATTAGCATGTCTAATTCACTTTCATATTTCTTATTTTTTTAAGATATGATTTTATAAAGTTTATTTTATACGATCATTGTACATCATCACAGCTTGTAAAATGCATTTTCCCAGCATCTACTGAATATACTGCACACCAGTCCCGTTAAAGATATCATATACATTATCATCAACAGAAAAGCCTCCATTTCTGTGTCCCTTAAATATCTTGCCTCTCTAATTTTCTCCTTGATTCCCTTCCTTCATCCTGCCCCACCTCTCATCCTTCTCCCACACTGTCTCCAGGATCTGAAACCATTCTCCATGCTTCTATATGCTCCAATCTTTTAGTTTCAATCATATTTCAAATTTATCATTATTTTATCTATTGTAATAAGATGCTGTTCTTATCAGATGGAATCTACTTAGTGCTAAATTAAGATGGTTTACTGCTGGGGCCAGCAGGTGGCATGGAGGTTAAGGTGCTGGACTCCCACAAGTCCTAGATCTGGTGGTTGATGACTTGCTTTTTCTCTCTCTCTCTTTATTTTCTCTCTCTAAATCTCTGGTGAGTACACATGCACTCTAGCAAACTGAATAATAATTATAAATTTTAAACATTAAATAAATAATTTAAAAAAATAAGATAGTGTATTGCTAACTTAACAATGAAGATTCCCTCCCATTATACCTGATTAAAAGTTGAAAAACACAAGTCTATGGCTATGGTAACAGACAGTGGATGGTATATTATGGGTGTGACTGGGTGTGCTTGAACAAAGAGCCATATTTGTTAATTATCATTGTGCTAACTAAATGTGAAGTGACTTGCTCCTTCTCCTCTAATATTAGCGATGGAATAAGAAAGCGAGCAGACTCATTCATCTAAACTATCAAGCTAAATGTTAAAGTTTAGAGAAGACACAAATGAAATCTCTTATTTACTGATGATTTGTTATATTTTCCATCTACTCGATAAAGGTGAAATTGCAAGTGCTGAAATTTCAAAAAGTTAAGCACGTGGGACCAGCAGTTAGTGTAATGGCTATGTGGCTGAACTGCCATGTAGCTGACTTCGGTTCAAGTCCCGGACCTGGTGGCTTAAACTCATGCTGGGCACGGGTACGTGTATGCCCAAGATCCTGAGAGGAGAATGGAGGAGAAGGGATTGCAGTGTGGCCATCCTCCCTGGGGGGTGATTTCTCGCTTTCTATCTCTCTGTCTTTCTGGAGAGCGCATGTACCCTATAGCAAATACCTCTCAAAAAAAAAAAAAAAAAGTTAAGTACCTAATGCTGTTATTTCTAATAAATAACTGTTTAATTAAAAAATATTCAAAATTAAGAATTTTCTGACTTCCATATAGGACTTAAACATACTCTTTTTTTTCTTACAAAACCTTTCATTTTAATTTCAGTTATAAAGGTATGATTTGAATATTAATTGAGAATAATTATAAGGTCACCACATAATGTAAAATAAACCAGTTTCACTGAAAAATGGTGCCAGGAAAAGAGGTTTATTTATAATTTATTATAAATTTTTACCTAACAAAGCCCATCTGTGTATTAGGATCTACATTATTGTTATTATATAACTTCAAGATTTGTGATGGTTCTATGGTACATAGAAATCAAATCAGAGGGAACCATATGACAACATAAATACATCAATGAGAGGGACCAGTAGATAGCATAATGACTACATCACTGGACTCCCACGTACTCAACCATAGTTCGAATCCCAGACCTGGTGGCTTAAACTCACTCTGGGTGCATGTGAGTGAATGTGTGGCCAAAATCCAGAGAGGAGAATGGAGGAGAAGAAATTGTGGTATGGCCATCCCCCCGGGAGGTAATTTCTTGCTTTCTCTCTCTGTATCTCTCTGTCTTTCTGGTGAGGGCATGTGCCCTATAGCAAAAACCTCTCTAAAAAAAAAAAATCAGTGAAAAAATTAGCAATGGTGGAAATTTACTGTTCAGTGATATGTAATAGTTTAGTACCATTCTACAGTAGAAAAACTGTAAGTTCATGGTGAGTTACATATTAAGCAGGAGTTTGGATCTCAAAGTGAGTAACTTTAAAAAATGACATAAAAACATTATTGAAACAGGGAGGTAGTGTTGCTATATTTTGATCAACTCGACTGGGGAGAAATGTTCACATATTGAAATGATCACCTTGTAAGCTAAATAATGTGATTGAATGTATTTAAAAAATGTAAATAAAAATAAATAAATAAAAATTTAAAAATAAATAAATAAAATGAATTGGGTTGGGAAATTAGAGAAACATAGTAGTAACATGTTCTTAGTGAAGAATTGAAATATTGATTTTCATTTATATAAACTGCCAATAATATTTGTATCTACCTTTAAGGATGATTTTGAAAATTAATTGAGATAGTAAAAAAAAAACTTAACTGCAGCAAAAAAAAAAAAAGACATAAAAACAAAATTACCCAGGGAACCAGCAGTTAGCGTAATGGCTATGTCGCTGGACTCCCACGTAGTCAACCGTGGTTCATGTCCCGGACCCGGTGGCTTAAAACTCACGCCGGGCGCGTGTGCGTGCGTGCCCAAGATCCCGAGAGGAGAATGGAGGAGAAGGGATTGCGGCGTGACCATCCCCCCTGGGGGGTGATTTCTCGCTTTCTGTCTCTATGTCTCTCTCTGTCTGTCTGGCGAGCGCACGCGCCCTACAGTGAAAATCTCTCAAAAAAAAAAAATTACCCATGAAAATCTGTTAAAATGCTCATAAAATAAAACATGTATGCTTTTACATCTACCCTACACCTCTTTGGATTATGTTAACAAGGCTTTACTTTTTTAATGTAATTTTAAAAATTAATTTATTTACATTTAATCACATCTTTACACTGTACATTTCTTTTCCAGCACAAATACTATGCATGTCAGTCAAGCCAAAGATATTACTCTATAACTTATCAGCAAATAGCCTTCATTTTTTTTGTCAGTTAAGCATATTTTGTCTTGTTTTATTCTTTCCCTTTCCCCTGTCACCCATCCATACTAAACTTTTTTTTCCCACATTTTACTGATTCACAAAATTCTTTAAACTAAAAATATGGACAGAACTGGAATCTAATTACAAGTGCACTGTAATTTTCTTCTGAAACTCTTTTAAATTAATGAATGTACTTTTTCTTCAGAGCCTCCAGTTAGTTTCTAGGTTGTTCTGAGGTAATCATCGACCGAGCTGCAGAGGCACCTTATGTACCTGCAGTGGGCTACAATTGTTCAGACCTGGTGACTTCTTCAGCCATCAAATGCTTCCTCCATGTCTCCAAAACACATAAAAATGACATTATGACAGGGAATCAAGGGGGAAAAGAAAGAAGCGAAGCATTTGACAGATACAAAAATAGAAAATTATCTGTTGATGATACCATGTATGATAATAACTTTATCTGGTCTAATATACAAGTGTATTCATGCTAGGGAAATTCATTTTGCAAGCTATATTGATATACAGTGATCAAATGTATAAAAACATGACATTATATAATATGAAAAAAAGTTGGGAAACACTGGTTTTAGTCTGATTGCCTTTGCGTCCTGGTTAAGACCACTTTTCTTGTTAAACAGCATTAGGTAGATGCTGTGCCAATAGGTTTCTATTTTATTTCAAGATTTAAAAATTAGTATTAGTTTTTTGAGGAATCTCCAAATTATTCTCCACTCACATTGTAAGCTAAACAATACGATTGAATGTATATACAAAAAGAAATAAATTAAATTTTAAAAATTCAAACAAAAAAAGTAAAAAAAAAAAAAAATAGTATTAGGACCAACAGATGTTGGAGTGGTTATTTCACTGGACTCCCACATAGTCGACTGTGGTTCGAGTCCAGAACCCAGAAGCTTAAAACTCATGCTGGGCATGTGTATATATTTGCCCAAAATTCTGAGAGGAGAATGTAGGAGAAGGAAAAGGGATTGCAGCAAAATCATCCTTCTCACCCTGCCCCAAGGGGTGATTTTTTTCACTTTCTGTCTCTCCAGTGAGTGTGCATGTCCTATAGCAAAAATCTCTCTCAAAAAAATATTTAGTACATACATATCTATACTTCACATTATAAAGAACATTTTATCTGATGTTTGTTGTTTCTAACATTCAAGGATGGAATTTTTTAAAAGACTTAATAGCATTTCAATAGAGAGTCATTTACAGAGAACTGCCTTCATGAGAACATTTTAGACAGGATTTTTCTTTCCCCATCTTTCTCCTGCATCAGCCATTTGGTAACAAGCTTTCTCTTTTGTGGGTACCACTGCAAGTTAGAGGGTAAATTCTAAGTTATTTAATTAACAGAAGTTATTTAAAAAAAGTGCAAGAGAGAGAGAAAGCATGCAAGAGAGATAAGAGAGCAAGAGCAGCAGATTAAAGTGGTATTTTAAGAATAAACAGATACCCTTTAGGAGTGCTGAGAAGTGGAGTATAATGGTAAAATGCAGTTAGGATGTATCCTGATTCTATTTAATAACCAGCTCACAAGAAAAAAGGTCTTCAGTGAAGAGTAGGCGTACTGCTACAGGTTGGCTATTGGTTCCCCATACAGACCCTTCCTAACTCACCTGCTTAGCAGTGATCCTGGCTCTTAGTGAGCTCATCCTGAAGTAACTTGGTTGATTTATTAGTTTCCAGGTTCCTATGGGTCTAAATTTGATTCTCTAGAGGTATCTGAAAGCTGTGACATTTTCTCCCATGTTTCTCTCTCAATATGTGTGAGTGTGACAAATTATATTGGAGTTTAAAAAAGTGTCCTAACCATCTGTATTCCTGAATGAACCATACCTCAAATACACCCCTCATATATGCCCATGATGGCAAATGTGGGGGCTACTACTAGAAAGAACAGAATACGACTGTAACACTTGGTTCATTTTGATTAAGAACTAAACATTGTTTAATGATAACAGCTACACTTCAATCCTGAGTAATTTGCTTATAAGACATTGGGCAAGGTCCAAAATTTTTTAAGCCTCAATGTCCTCAATTAAATAAAAATTATACCTTTATAACATCCTTGTGAGCATCGAATGATTTAATGTATGTAAAGTGTTTGGTAAACTCTCTGAAAGTAATGAGTGTTAAAAAAGATAACTTGTTTCAAAAAAATAAGACAAAGTTAGAGCCATAAATAAAGCCAAGATATTCCAAAATCCTATACAAAAATTTAAAACTGTTTGAGTTTCTTTCTTGAAAATCTGAAAAGTTTCTGAGTTTATGAATATTTTCTTTTGGCTATCTTTAACAAAGACGTTCTTCATATATCATTCAAGTTCTAGATTTATTCCAAGATGTGTGTGTGTGTGTGTGTGTGTGTGTGTGTGTGTGTATACGAATCATCATTCCAAAGTCTACCTCTAGTTATCATTTATACATTATTCTTTCTTTCTTCCTTTCTTCTTTCTTTCCTTTTTATTTTCTAACATTCGGTCACTGATAGAAAGTAAATTTTCCTAGCATGAATATATTCTGTTTTAGTCCATTTAAGATATCACTATATTCGTACTGTCCATCCCATTTTAACCACTGAATGTATTATCCTTTCTAATTAATTTGCCTCCCTGTGGTCCTCATATAGCCCTCATATATATCCTTTTTTTTTTTTTTTTTTGAGAGAGAGAGAGAGATTTTTGGTATAGGGCTCATGTGCTCACTGGAGAGACAGAGAGACAGAAAGGGAGAAATCATCCCCTGATGGGGACGGCCATGCCACAATCCCTTTTCCTCTATTCTCCTCTCAGGATTTTGGGCACGCATGTACATGCCTGGTATGAGTTTTAAGCCGCCACAGTAGACCAAGTGGAAGCCCAGCAGCATAACCACTGTGCCATCTGCTGGTCTCGGCAAATATGTCTTTTAACAGAAAGGTGTGATGCTTTTATTTCTTCACTTGTTATCACTTTAGAACACTGAAGAACATTAGTTGTGTAGTATATTAAAAACATTTGTTGATTTGTCTTATTCACATTTTTCTAAATCAATATTGAGAAGAGGAAACCTTTATTTGAAATGCTAAAATTTAGTTTCTCTTCAAATTTCAAGCTATTGAATATCATTAGATGTATGTGTATGTAAAACAAAGCTTACAACAGTAGCAAAATTCTTAAAATTGTTATCTACTGCTTCTAGTTTCTCATAATGCTTTACTTTTTTAGATCCACCTTTCCATCTGTCATTGAGGCCAGTCTTTTCTAGGCTGACTATTGATAAACACAATGGAAACCCATGTCACTGATTGCACATTCACCTTCCTCCTTCCAGCTTTTACTCCTTCCAGAACCTTATTTTTATAGACTCCTTTGTACACTCACCCCTTCAATGATCAATAAGTATTAAATTTATTACTCTATTTTAGATACCTCCTCTCAGCTTCAGGACTCTATATCTGATACCGAGTATCAACATTATAGTGCGTAAAGACAATTCACATTCTACATGCTCAATTCCAAATTTCAAATATCCTGGCTCCAAATTTGTCTCTTATCCTATGTGCTCTATCATGGTGAGTGGCACTATTATTCACCCAACAGTGTAAGTCAAATACTACAATTTCATTCATTTTTTTTTTTTTTTACATTTTTGCCATAGAGTGCATTTGCTTGCCAAAAAGGAGAGAGACAGAGAGAGAGGACCTGAGAAATCATCTCCCCCCTGGGACCAGCAGTTAGCGTAAGGCTATGTCGCTGGACTCCCACATAGTCGACCACGGTTTGAGTCCCGGACCAGGTGGCTTAAACTCACACCAGGTGCATGTGCATGCGTGCCCAAGATCCCGAGAGGAGAATGGAGGAGAAGGGATTGTGGTGTGGCCATCCCCCCTGGGGGGTGATTTCTCGCTTTATATCTTTCTTTCTCTCTCTGTCTGTCTGGAGAGCCCATGCACCCTATAGTGAAAACCTCTCAAAAAAAAAAATAGAAAGAAATCACACACACATGCACACACGCGCACACACACACACACACACACACACACATGGAGGGTGACCTTGCTACAGTTGCTTCTCCTCTATACTCCTCTTGCAATCTGATCTTTTGCATACACACACGTATCCCCATAATGATTTTCAAACCACCAGGTCTAGGATTCAAACTGTGATTGGCCATGTGTGAATCCAGCCACCTTGACTTCCATGCCACCTGCTGACCCATGTAGTAATAATTCTTGACCACTTTGCTTTCTTTACCAAATTTTATACTTAATTTACTTCTTAGGTGTTCAACTTATCAGGCCTTTCCTTCCATCCGCATTGCCATATTCCAGTCTTACATAACATCATATAGTTTCTAAGAGTGTTAAAATATCATTGCAGTATTATTAGTCTCTAGTAAGCTGCTTGAAACAAAAATCCTATTGAATAGCAATGCTAACTCAGAAATTTTCACAGATCTCCAAACATTCTTAGAATCAAGGACCAATTTTATCCATTTACATAGGATTCTGGATGATCTGACCTAGGTTTTCCACTCCAGCTCTGCTGATAACATTGAAGGGTTATCGCTTCTCGGCCTTTTGGCTAAGATCAAGTGTAGTAACATTGAAGGGTTAATGAATAAGATGACAGGTAAGGATGGCATACAACTGACCATAAATTGAGATGCTGAGGTTGAGCCGTTATAGAGTGATTATTACATCAATTCTTCTACTTATGTTTTTGTTTGAAAATGTTCATGACAAAAAGTGTTTTTTTGAGAGAGATTTTTTGCTATAAGGTGTATGCACTTGCTAGAGAGACAGAGAGAAAGAAAGCAATAAATTTCCTCCCTTGAGGGGTGAGCCATGCCACAATCCTTTCTCCTCTGTTCTCCTCTCAGGATCTTGGGCAAACATACACACCACCCAGCAATAGTATTAAGTGGCCAGGTCTGGGACTCAAATCACGGTCGACTACGTGGGATCCAGCGATGTAACCATTATGCCATCTACTGATCCCAAATTAAATAATTTTTTAAATGATAACAATATTTCACAAGTACTAAGATCCGTAAAATCTATGGGAATCAATAAATTGGAAGGATAAAATCTTACCAAAAATCAATCCCCAATGTACTGCAGATAAAAATAAAATTTAAATACAATAGGAAAATAGCTATAACAGTGTGAGATACATTATGTAATATGTACGTTAAATAAGACGTACAGCAAAAGGGTTCAAACTAACAAGAACCTGAAGATATAAAATGTTTGGCTAAGAAATGTAATGGAAATGATAATAGTCTCTCATGTCATCATTTTCTTTTGAATGGCTTTCAGATTATTCTGCTAGTTTTAGAAGAAGAACTAGAAAAAGGAGGAGGAAGAGGAAGAGGAAGGAAAAGAATAAGAAAGAGGAAGGAAAAGAAGAAGAAAAGAAGAAAAGGAGGATTAAAGAAGAAACTGAGTTGCCACAGTAGGTAAGGCCCTGAGGTAAAGGACCAGAGTACTTGCCTTCAGATGGCTCATAGTCCAATAAAGAAGTCATAGATAGAACTACAATAAAAATTAAAAACCTAGTAGTGAAACAAGATGGCACAGAGCATGTGGTGATAAATTATTTTTTTGTCTCTCTTTCTATTGGGGATCAGGTAGAAACAAAAGTAAGTGAACATAGTAAAAGTTCTTTTTAAAAGCTAACTTTTGCAGAGACCAGGTAGTGGTGCAGTGGTAACACAACTGGACCCCCATGGCTAAGGTCTTGGGTTTATTTCCCAGGACATCCCTGTGCTTTCCAGGCATGAGCATGTGTACCTGTGATCTGGGCTGACTGAGGAGGTGGATTTTGGTGTGAAGGAATTCTTGTTAGGAATTCCTCTCTCTCTTGCTCATGGAAAAAATATGTAAACTTAAAAAAATAACTTCTGAGCTTATATTTGAAAGATGATAATATTGTTCAACATTCACAAGTATTCCAGTAACACAGTAAGCAGCAAGCACTATCACAGCCATGAAGAAGAGGGAGTTTCATGGCAAGTAGGGAGGAAAATAGCAGGGGAAGTATCAAAGCAAGGACTGTGGTCTTTATAGAGTCTTATAAGTCATACTCATGAATTTGGTCAAAGTCTTATAGAAGAGAGGAATAATAGAAATATGTTATATATAAGACTGATATCATCAGAAAAGGCATTTTTGAAAAGCCCCTCAACAAAATACGTGCTTAACATGATAGAACACCATACAATGAATTTGAGAGAATGATATATGGGAAAATTAACAGAAAAAAAATTAAATTAAAAGAAGGCACACATTATAATTTGTATGTATAAACCTAACAAGATAATTAAGTGATTTATGTATTTAGTTGGCTATTACCCGGGTTGTATTATTGGATTTATAGTCAGAGGACAGGGAATCTTGTTTGAAGGATAAAAGAGCCACTTCAATAAGGTATGTCAAATAATTTAATAATATATGTATAAGTGTGTGTATGAGAGGACTTTAAAAAATTATTAAAAAATTGGGACCATCAGTTAGTGTAATGACTATGTTGCTGGACTCCCACGTAGTCAACTGTGGTTCGAGTCCCGGACTCAGCGGCTTAAACTCATGCCAGGCGCGTGTGTGTGCGTGCCCAAGATCCCGAGAGGAGAATGGAGGAGAAGGGATTGCGGCGTGGCCATCCCCCCTGGGGGGTGATTTCTCGCTTTCTGTCTCTCTGTCTCTCTCTGTCTGTCTGGTGAGTGCACGTGCCCTATAGTAAAAACCTCTCAAAAAAAATTGTAAAAAAATTAAAGCACGAGTTTATTTTGGAGCAAAAAAAATAAGCCATGGAGGAAACCAGCAGTTAGCGTAATGGCTATGTCGCTAGACTCCCACGTAGTCGACCGCGGTGCGCGTCCCAGACCCGGTGGCTTAAAACTAACACCCGGCACGTGTGTGTGTGTGTGCCTGGCGAGCGCACACGCCCTATAGCAAAAAATATCTCCAAAAATAAAAAAATAAGCCATGGATAGATTTATTTTTCAAAATGTGCTTTCCATGACTCTTTCAAAGGCCCCTAGTATATGCTAAAGAAAAAGTTTATCCAATAATATTTCTTAAAGTAATATTAGAAAAGCTTTATTCAGGACCATTGTGATAGGTGTAGGGACAACTACCATGAGGTCTTGCAGTGGAGAGATTGGGCTCAACTCCAAATACAGCATGAGTGACTTGCAAGTCACAAAGACAAAAAGAGCAATGTGGGGGTCAGTGGATAAAAAATTACCAAGAGGACAAATCAGGGGTAAGGAGATTATGGCTTAACTAATCTAGCAGTATTCTTGTTGAAGACAGGTTAGATAACTAGACTTAACTTGAGCAATGGGAGCGGATTAGGTATCTGGTCAGACACTGAGAGTGAATAGGAATCAAAGTTCTTGCTGAATTGATTCAGCATGGTTCATAGCTAAAATGGAATTTTTGTTTTGCTTTGCTTTTCTGTTTATTTGTTTTTGCTACAGGGCATGTGTGCTTGCCAGAGAGAGAAACAGAGAAAGAGAGGGAATAAAAGTGATAAGTCACCCCTTCCAGGGGGGGCTGGCCACACTGCCATCCCTTTTTCTCACTCTCCTCTTGGGATTTTGTACATGCATGCACACATGCCTGGAAAAAAATTTAAGCTTAAATTTTCAAGCTAGTCCTTGGGCTCAAACTGTGAAATTGGCCATGTGGGATTCAACACCTTAGCCTCCACACCACCTGCTGACCCTAAAACTGGATTTTATAAGCAGTTATACAGATGAACCTGGGAGAAGGATCAAGAGCCTGACTAAAGTTTGGTCAACTAAAGGATCTTTCAACTATCTGTCTACATCTATCTAGCTATTTATCTATCATCTATCATGTGTTTTTCTATGGATCATCTATCTACCATTTATCCATCCAGCTTAATATTCATCCTATTATTACAAATGACATGAAAATGTCAGATTTTGTTACAGTTACTAATTGGAAAACTTTCATAAACCATGGATGGGTATCCAAGAATAAATTTCAAAAACATTTTTGTAGAGAGTAAGAGAAAGCACAGAGTAAGTAGTTATTCCACCATTATATGTTGAATTTGGACTCCAGGTAACATTAGCTATGCTTTAGGGCAAATTATTTAAATTATTTGAGCCTCCCTTTTCTTATCTGAAATGTGAAATCATTTTACCTACATCATGCCATTTTTATCAAGATTATTGATATACATAGACATTTAATACCTAACCTTGGACCTAATAAGCAATGACTAAATTATAGACACCATATGATTACTGCCATTCTGTCATAAACTTCACAGCATAATTAATTTGCAGTTTGTAAAATAATTTAATATTCATTATAAGTTTACTCCTCGAATTAGCCTTATACTATAAGTAATATTTTTTTTCTTAATTGAGGCTCAGAATATGTAACTTTCCCAAGAGTATCTGGTAGAAGAGCCTGAGTAAAACCCAGATCTAGCTCAAAATTCATTTCCCACTAAGCTATCTTGTTTCCCAAAGGAAGGCACTACACAGTAAAGACACTTCCTCAGTTGTCCCTGAAGGAATCAGATAATTATCTCAACACAAACTACACTTCATATTCATTAATCTTAATGAAAAAGTTGAACTTTCTGTTTGTTGAGATTGGTTTAAGTTAATAGACCCCCATGAAAAAACTGCATAACCACTCATTTTAATAAGGCCCTTGGAAACTGATTAGAAAGTAAACCACCTTTACTTTCTAATTACGATAGGGAATTCTATTTTCGATGCAGAGATTTGTAATAAGACCCAGAGAGACAGATTCATCATCAATACTAAAGCAAATTCTGATCGCGCTTTCTTTTTACTTAATGCAATTAAACAATTAGTTAAAAATCAACAGATGAAGAATGATAGTTATAAAAATTGCCACTTTTCTTAATTTTCCAGATACTCTGGATTTTTGAAGTCTGACTAAACATACAATTGCTAAATTAACTCCTTTTGGATAATGTAATATGAACAAGCAGCAAGGATTTGGGAATTCCTAAATTCTGTGGTGTGATAGTGCATATTAACTTATATCAAATAATTTGGGAATATAATCACTGATCAAATCTTTTAATTTAATGTCAAACTACAGCTTTTGTTATAATTAAAATTGTTTGCATGTACTGTTATTAGAAAGATAAAGAATGGGAAAGTACATCCTTTCTTCAACAAGATAGCCAAGAAAGCAAGCTAGTTAAAACCCTACTCACATGAAGGATAGGATATGAATATCAAAGGTTCTACATGCTAAGAATATAGTTAAATGCTAAGGGACATGCTAAGGATATAAATATCAACTATGGCGGTATATATGCTAACCACATACATACCAAATGTTGGAGGTGTACATGCTAAGAATACAAGATGCTGTGGGACCAGCAGTTAGCATAATGGCTATGTCACTGAACTCCCATGTAGTCAACCACAGTTTGAGTCCTGGACCCGGTGGCTTAAACTCATGCAAGGTGTATGTGCATGTGTGAAGATTCCGAGAGGAGAATGGAGGAGAAGGGATTGCAGCGTGGCCATCCCCCCTGGGGAGGTGATTTCTCACTTTCTATCTCTCTATTTCTCTTTGTCTTTCTGGCGAGCACATGTGCCCTATAGCAAAAGCCTTTCCAAAAAATAAAAGAATACAAGATGATGGTCTGTGAGCTGCAATAATAAATGGGCAGATTAGTGATTTCTAAATGCCTTGGGTTATAGATTATGAGCTTAACTAAGAA